TTTTTTTTTTTCATTTTTATAAAATCTGTTAACTGGAATGGCTGTCAGTGGAGTTCATACCCAACAGTCTACTTATAATAACCACATTCAATTCCCCAGATCCAGACATGCCCGATTTCTTTTCATTGGGATCCATTAATCCCTAAGAAATCAACGCACATGATTGCCCAAATTTCCCTCTGGTTCAATAAAGTATCTATCTAAAAATATCTATAGAAATATCTACAATGATAAAGAAAGTGAAAATGAATTCCCATACCCACCCCCCAATCCTGATCTGTACCAAACTATTATAGCTTAAAACATTTTTCAATATTTTTGAAAATTGAGGTGGTGCTAAAGTGATTTCAAAACCCTACAGCTGCCATGACAACCCTGTTTTAAAAATACAGAAAGCAATGCTACGGTCCCGTACAAGAGTTTTCCGACCTCTGTGGAGCAGATGGCTTCTGAGTACAATAATCTTACAAATATTTCTCCCTCTGGAACTACTGCTGGGTTAAACAGTGACATTTCAAAAGATGATGTGATTGAACATCATTTGGATACACAAATACATCCTGACAGTAAAAGTTGACATTCAAGCACAAATGTGAAACATAAAAAATTGTCGATTGTATGTGAGAGGGGTTTATGGTGTAATATAAAACAAAATGCTGTATTAACGAGCTGCAGTTCTTCAGGCGAGGTATTCAGAAGGAGAGTATACAGATAATTCTTCATTCTCACATTAAGTATTCAACAGCACACAGACAAGACCACAGGAGCACAGCAAACACTCTGAATAAGGAGGCGTGTTGTGTTTGGCTTCAAATGTGATCGGAAAAATACTAAGATCGCTTGCCAAACTGAATCGCTACTTCAGGTGGAGATGCCAAAATGTTGCTCGTATGGTCAGATGACACTGCTTACTACTTTCTATATTTAGGTGGAGCACAAGAGAGGTTTTAGACTTTCATCTGTGTGATTTTTATCAACACAAACAAGAGCTACAATTACCAGCCTGCAACGTAATGCCTCCACCAAGGAGTGTAGTGACAGTCTACAAATCTAATCATTTAACCTTTGAGGCCAAGAGACAACTGTTCAAAAGTTAAGGAAATTCTCAAAAGGCAGAACTGAGATATCATGTGATATGAAAAACGTGTGAGGTCACCATGACCTTGGCCTCTGACCACCATAACTGGATAAATTAATGCAAGTCTAAAGCTGGGTCACAATTTAAAGGCTGCATCCTTCGAAGGCCGCATTGCTAAGGCTCCTTCATATGCGGCACACAAATGTGTCTTTTCATCCAAACCACGGCTCACACAGGTGGATCCTTCTCAGGCTCCCCCCTCCTGGATTCATTGCACAAAGTAATGTCGGAAGCTGAAGATTCAGGCTTCAACTGAACAGCTGAGGGTGCACATGTTAAAAAAAAAACAAGGGTCATCCAAACTTTCTTGTCGTGTCCAACTGCAGCTCTGTTGCAGTTGGCAAGACACAGACAGTGATAAAGGGTACCCTCTGTAGACCAGACCATCTCATTTCAGTTCAGCCTTTGCGGGTTGGCAGGCCACAAAGTTTGCCTCCTTTGTGGGCCATGCAGACCATGTCCTCCAAAGGAGACGACCCCTGAATTGGGACACAGCTCAAGTGAATGTTTGTGCAGATGGAATTAAAAATCCCTACGGCTATTTCTGAGATACTGCGTTCACAAAGCAAAAGATGTGTTTGGTGAGGTCACAGGAACATTGACCTTTGACGACCAAAATGTAATGACTTCATCCTTGAGTCCAGCGGAACAGTTTTTTTCTAAACATGAAGAAATATTGAGATATTGTGTTCACAAGAATAGGACGAACAGAGTGAGGGACATAGAACCTGATAATCAAATGCCTCTGGCCAATGCCTGTTGCCAACACAAAGGCATTAAACCTGAGGGAATGGTGAATACATAGGACAAAAGCACATGAATACAATTGACTGTGTCTTCAACAGGCAGAATCTGAGTAACTTTATATTGAGTATTATACAACTGCATTACAAACTAACAAAAACTAATCTTACCAGAAATAATAATAACAGTAAAACATTGTGTCGAGAAAACAACACATTTAAATGGATGCTCGTGTTCATAACAATTCTTCTTATCAACCCAACCACTGCTACTACGAAGAGGTTTTACAGAGACACTCTTGTCTGATTTGTGTATCTGTCTGTCTTTGTTACTGTGCGCTTTAACTGCAGCTGTGATGTTATTAAGTGAATAACAATGTGCATCTCCTCGGGCTGTTAAATCTCTTCACTGTCAGACACAACCTGAGCTCTACGGGCGGTAGATCATCCACGGTAGAAAATCAATGAGGTGCAACAAGTCTGGGAGTTTCTGGAAGGGTCCTCTTCAGTCCCCTTGCAGCTGCTGCGAGCGATAATTATCTAAACACTTTTTGGAAATAAAAAGAGGAATAAAGTTTGCTTTGTTTAAAGGAGAATTGCTGTATTTTTCAAACTGGGCTCTAAGTTTATAAATGTGGCAGAGTCACGATACTTGGTTGTTGCAGTAATAGAGATAGAAACATGAGTGAGAGAGTTTGGGTTCTACTGAGAGAAACTATTATGGCTGAATCTTACCTCTGATGTCGATGAAGCATTTGACTTTGATGGCTGTTCTTGTTTGCGTATACGGACAAAAAGCGCCTAGAAAATTGAAGCGTGAACGAGGAGACACAGAGGCGACAAGCAGAGGAGGGACAGGGACCTGCTGCACAGTTCTCATTGAGCGAGACATGTTTTTCCAGATTCTTAGCAAAAACCAGAAAAAACAATGGGAGCTTTTTATTGGCGAAATAAAGCCCTCTCAGAGGACATTTGCAGATGCCCCATAAAATTACAATGTAGGCATTGTTTTTGGGACTACTGGCAGAGATGATCTACTGGACTGATTCCAAAGGTTCCATTAATTACACCTTCACATTTATAAACAAAGTGCCCATATTGAAAAATACAGAAATTGCTTTAATAAAAGACAAATGTGGGAGAAGATATCTAACTGTTTGGGCTCAGTTGATCCCCAGGCTCGTCACTTTGTTATTTTCTTCTTCTTAAGAGACATATCAGTGTGCCCAGTCAATATCGACTGAGACTCTAAACAGCAGAGATGTTGGATATCTCAGGATCAGATATGGCGGCAAAGCAATAAAGTACAGCTGATGGTAATCTTTAAACATAAAGCACGACCGACTCAAGCTCAAAAACTAATCCCCGAAAACAACCTGACATCGCAATGTTTCAGTCTGTGTCCTGGAAGAACCCTGATGTTTGGAGCGGACACCCAAACGAACACTTTCATAGGCTTGTTCCGCTCCGACGAGCGTTCATTACGTCCCAGCGTTTTCCACTTGGGGGACAGGGAGCGGTTACGGACAAAAAAGCACTCCCGGCTGTCCTCAACACACCAGCCATTCATCATGCATTTATTTAGCCGCCATAATTCTTAAATAGGACTTTATAAAAGAGGGAATTCATTTTCAGCGTGAAGAAACCCAATTAATTCTCAGTGAGAGGGAGCTAATCAGTTTGTCATTCTCCGGCAGTGCATGTGTGTGTGCGTGCATGTACAGTATAGTATGTGTATGTGAGTGCATTGCTTTGTGTGAGTGGTTGTCTATATTAAGCACTGGCTGTGTGGCTACGTGCTAGTGTTGCGAATTTGTTTAAATGGCCAAGTTAATGTCCCGTGCTGTTATTAACGCAGGGTCATTTACATGCACAGCCAGGTTTCAGTGTTCGCTCACTCAGGCCTGCACCCTACATGCAATGGGCATTATTCAGCTGCATTATCCCACCCTCAAGCTGACCTGTGTCCACAGAGGTTCCACCCATTCTCGCTTCAAGCTTGCAACAGCCAAAACAAATTGTAACTGTGGGACCAGGGTTAATTAATTGCTACATAAATCCTTTCCACACAACAAAATAAATGATAGAAGTAGAGATCAGTCCAAAGAAAAGTGGTGACAGCGAGCTGGAGGGCAACGTCAGAACGAGTTTGGTTTGAGTTCTACACGATTTTTCATTAAATATAATGAATATAAAAGGATGGCACGACAAACAATGACATAGATCAAATCCAAACAAACATGGCATACAAACAAACAAACATTAATGAACAAGTCAGGGGGATGACTTTAATTCCAACAGGAGAGCTTAACATGTGAGTCTTCTCCTGACACACACAACTGGAACTTTGTTATGCTTGAAAGTGATGGAATGGATTACAATTTCCTTCAAGCTTTCAGAGTGAAACCATAAAAACATCCCAAAAAACCTGACAGCTCAACAAGTCAGCAAAGTATAGAGCCGCTGTTTTCTTGTGCTTTAGGCCACAGCTGAACCGTAGCCTTGAAGCCCCGGCTGTGTGGCTCAGCAGGGAGCTCCCAGGGCCATCCTACGATCAAAGCTCAGGACAAAAGTGACCCCAATGTACTGCCAGAGGAGCCGCGCATAGCAAAGTCAGCAACTTAGTCAACAGATCACTGCAGTCTTTCTGCAAACTGTGCATTCATCTCAGCTCTGTACTTGGGGGAAAAAGTGAATGAATATTTTCTTGCAGCTGGTTTATAAAAAGGTCAATACATGCATTATTTTAAGGTTGCAAAATATCCTTGACTTGAATGGAAACTTCTCAAGATAAATGTGAAATATAACTTTAGCAACTAGGAGTATCAAAACAACGTTGACCTAGTTTGATGATGTCGGGAAGCTGCTTGGGATCATGGGAGTTGCTGTCTTCACCACCATTGCCCATGACATTGTGACTCAGGTGCAAATCATGGTCGTGGATGAGGTCCCGCATTAAAGTTTTATTCACATTTCACAGCAAACGGTGGTGATAATCATGATCCATTACGAGTGACCGATACAGACAGCGGAAGGAGAAAACAGCCGACTGGCACGTCGTTTGACATGGACATCACAGCAGAAACCAACAAAGCTGTCGGTAAAGTGAATATGAGGCAATAGAATGACAACAAAAATGAAATGTTCTATTACTTTGGATAAATGTAGGATTTTTCAACAACAAAATCTTACAAAAACATAGTCTGATTTGTTTTAGATATTTAAATGAAGAATTGCTATATATTATATCTTCAAAGTGCACAAGGTTAATTTGCCAAATCTTAAGCTTAAATGCTTTCCTTATTTAGGAACACACAACAGTCATAATTGCATTTAGTTGAGTTGTCCTGCTGAAGACTGGGTGCTGAAATAATATTTAAAGGAAGAGCTAATAAAAGACAACATATTTCCTCTAGTAATAATTTTGTAATACAACAAATCAGAATAAGTTTGCAGAACAATCTCAAATCAAAGTATTACTCGCACCATGTTTTTTCAGGGCTGAACAAGTTCCTCTTTTAATTTATTTCCTTCTCTGTGGAATGGATATAATTTGTACCATTCACAGTATTAAACATCTAAATGAATGTGTGCGAGGTCTGAAACTGAACCGTGAAAGTAAGAAAATAACTATGATCTGACCTTGTTAGAACATCCTCTCCCAATCTGATTAATAATGACAAATGCACTGTACGCTTTGTGCTCTGCAGCCAACATTACCATCTATCTACGTTGGTTACTCTCAAAGTAACAAAGATAAATTGCTATCATTTATTTCACCCAACACTGCAAAGTGCATCTGTGCAGCTGAAAAGTAAATAAAACATGATGTACTGTGCAGTTTTGTTGTAAAACAGACAATAAAGTGTCTCTCAGGACCTACACAACAAGTAACGACACATTTTCACGAGGGTCGAAAATTAAATTAAGGCTGCAAGCAGCGTCACACAGGCCCTCGCACCCCCGTGCATGTCCAGGCAGGATGCTTGTTGTCACTGCTGCATGCTGTGGCTATACCATCAGACCATGAGCTATTGAGTAAGTAAGTAATTTCTTGTGCAGGTGCACAGTGACATAATGGATCACACATCGCATGACCTGCCTCCATTATACAGTATTATGTAGATGGAATAATGATTGTGACATGACGCATGAGCCAGTAGTGGGCGCTATGAATATTGGTGTGTTGATGACTGTTATCAAACATGTTTGTGGCAGATCTGATCATGTACTGTTAAGTTTTAACAACTTCCTGTGTCATGGCCAAACATCCCAAATGGGATGCCATGCTACAGACACGCTGTTCAACCAAAACAACATTTTTTTTAAATGTGTCATCTCGAGATGGCACACAGCGAATTACTTTTTCTCACCAAAATGGCCGACTTCCTGTTGGGTTAGGGCTATGGTACCCGAGGCTTTTTTTTAAGTCTGAGAATGCTACATGTACCGAGCTACGGGAATCTAAGTGTGCTGTGCGGCTTAGACTCAGGTCTTCTTGGCTAAAATTTGCACATAGTGATGTTTTCGATTCTTGTTATGTAAAATCTGTCATATGCCGTATTAAGATAAGACTATTGAGACTAGCAGGGCAGTGATGCAGATTGTTGTTTGTGGTCAGATGCTTTGTCTCTGCTGCAGGGCTTGTTTTACGATGATGCAACCGTCTGCACTAGAGGAGTCGTTATAACAAACTGCCACCCGAGTGATGGTGACCAGCACACTCCCTCACATAC